AAAGAAAGAAAGAAAGAAAGAAAGAAAGAAAGAAAGAAAGAAAGAAAATTTCCTTGAAGAAAGATAGGCTATAAATTTACTAAGTAGTAAATAGATATAAATCTCAACATTTTAAAAATAAGCAATATTTCCTATAGAGTCCAAGTGGGTTCACCCAATACATCTAATTTGGCTTCATACCACATAACTGCTCACTTTACATAGCATGTTACACCCCAAAAAACAAATCACAGCTTAACAAATCTGGCTTGGTTCATCCAGCATCTCAAGACAGAATTGGGCACCACAAACCTGAGTGCACAAGTATAGAGTAGGTGACACCTGGCTCAACTGTGAGAGGGACTTTGGAGTCCTAGTGCGCAACCACTTCAATATGACTCAACAGTGTGCTACAGCTGCCAGAAAAGCCAATGCAGTTCTAGGCTGCAATAATAGAAAGATAGAATCAAGATCTCATGAAGTGTTAATACCACTTTATAATGCTGGACAGTGAGAACAATAAATAATGGAAGGGCTTGCTTTCAGAAGTTGTGGGTATGCCAACACTGGAGGTTTTTTAAAAAGAGATTAGACAACCATTTGTCTGAAATGATACAGGGTTTCCTGGTTGAGTAGAGAGTTTGACTAGACAACCTCCAAAATCCCTTCCAACTATGTCATTCTGTTATTCTACGACAGTATTAGTAAAAAAGCAACTTAATAAGTAATGGGAGGAGCTATTTTGATTTGACTGTGGTCAAATATGTCATCTATATTTGCTTGCAGATACCCGTTGTATTGACCGCAATTTTCTCCCCACCAAATCAAAAGCCCTTGTTGCTTTGTCGAGCTTCCCAGGAGCTGGAAACACGTGGGTTCGCCATTTGATAGAGCATGCCACAGGAGTCTACACAGGGAGCTATTACTTTGATGGAACTCTGTATAATAAAGGTATGTGTTGACTCTTTGCTGGATGAAGCTGTGGATTCGAAGCAGGCAACCTTTTGGAAGTCAGTGGACAACATAAACTATGGAGCCATGTGGTGGGTGAAAGTCTGTAGAGATTCTCAGTCATCCAGGTCATGGTTGTCCCAAAGGCACTTTTTTTCAGGAGGCAACTGGACTTCCTTGTTTTTTCTTTGAAGACGTTTTGCTTCTCTTCCAAGAAGCTTCTTCAGCTCTGACAGGATGGAGGGGAATGGAAGAATTTATATTCCTTGCAGACAGCTGGTCATTTGCATCCTTTTAGAGGGTCGATGAAGCACTTGGAGGTTTATCTGTATCCTCAGGGTCACCTGAGTAATGCTCCTGGTTCCTGTAGTCTGCATTTTTTTCTCTGGAAATCCCATACTATTCCAAGGATGTTCATCCCAAATTGTATAGCTAAAAGTCTGTAGAGATTCTCAGTCATCCAGGTCATGGTTGCCCTAAAAGTGCTTTTTTAGGAGGCAGCGGGACTTCCTTATTTTTCCTTTGAAGATGTTTCGCTTCTCATCCAAGAAGCTTCTTCATATATAAATCCTTCCATTCCCCACTGTCCTGTCAGAGCTGAAGAAGCTTCTTGGATGAGAAGTGAAACACCTTCAGAGAAAACAAGGAAGTCCACTTGCCTCCTGAAAAAGCATCTTTGGGACATGTGGTAGGTGATTTTCCAAAATGGCTGCCACAATTGTTGCCCATCTCCAAGTGTCTGTTAAGGGGCAAAACCACTCTATATTACCTCCTCTAAATGTCCAGCATGGTCTCTACCACCTTGGCTTACTTTTGGTTTGCAAGCTAGACAATTGCTACTATCTTCTAGATCTTTTGAGACGACAGCTACCACAATTCCAAGGAAATGGATAGTTATGATAACTATGGGCCCAATTACATTAGCTAAGATGTTCTAAATTCCTGTTATCTATCCTGTATTATGGATGTATATGCTTTGAAAATTATTTGAAAGAGATGCTTCTGAATGCATGGATTCAAAAGTTTCTCTTTGAAACAGCTCCTTCTTTTTAGACTTTTACATGACCCTGAAAAATGTCAAATGCTAAATATTGCTACAGCTAGCTCATAAAATACACAGCTATTATGATTTTGACATTAAAATGGTTATATCTTTTATCTGAGCCTGAAGTAAGAATGGCTGTATTAATGAATCATATTAGAAGCATGGTTGCTTTTACCTGGCCTGTGGTGAGATGGGTAGCAAATAATTTTTAAAAAATAAATTAAAATAATAAAATAAAATAAAGGTAGGGTTGCTTTTATGAATTGACTAATTAAAGTAATGAGGTTTTCAGTTTGAAGAGATGTATCCTTGTACCCTGCTTATTCTTAAAAACCTCTTTCAAATTCCTCTTTAGACCAAAGATTGTGTGTTCTCAATGTGATCACCCCTCTCTTTGGTTTCAGTTTTTGAGACTACATTTATTTAATTCCCCATTCCCCATAACATGCTTATATTGCTAAATAATGCTCACCAATTATACTATGCAAGCATATAATTAGAATCTTTAGATATTTAAATGATCAAGTCCGGGTACAATTCAAGGTGTTGGTTATTACCTTTAAATGGCTCCAGGTTACTTGAGGAACTGTCTCACCCCAATGGCACCGGCCTGCCCTACCTGCAAATCCCATCGACCAAGGAATTTTGGCTGGTGGGAGCCAGGAAAGGAGGCTGGGAGCGAGATCAAGTGAGGTACTAATACCGCTCTATAAAGCCTTAGTAAGACCACACCTAGAGTACTCCATCCAGTTTTAGTCACCACATTATAAAAAAGATGTTGAAACTCTAGAAAAAGTGCAGAGAAGAGCAACCAGGATGATTAGGGGACTGGAGGCTAAAACATACAACGAATGGTTGCAGGAACTGGGCTTGGCTAGTCTAGTAAAGAGAAGGACCAGGGGAGAGATGATAGAGGTCTTCCAATATTTGAGGGGCTGCCACAGAGAGGAAGGGGTCAAGCTGTTTTCCAAGGCACCTGAAGGCCAGACAAGGAATAATGGATGGAAATTGAACAAGAAGAGATTTAACCTGGAAATAAGGAGAAACTTTCTGACAGTGAGAACAATCAACCAATGGAACAGCTTGCCTTCGGAAGTTGTGGGAACGCCATCACTTGACACTTTAAAGAAGAGATTGGACTGCCATTTGTCAGAAATGGTGTAGGGGCTCCTGCTTGGGTGGGGGTGTGTGGACTCGATGACCTACAATATTTCTTCCAACTTTGATTATCTATTTATCTGTTTAAGGAGCCTTCTCTGTCATGGCTCCTGCCCTTTGGAATATCTTACCCCCTGAGGTGACATTGGCTCTCACTCTACTGACTGTCAGGATTCAGACCGATGCCCTAATGAAATTGACCTGATAGACCTAATAAACTGACCTAATAGAGTTAACACTAGCCTTCCATAAAGGCCTTAAGATCTGACTCTGTCTGCTGGGTAGGGACCTCAGTGGAGGAGTATCACACTGGAGATGGTTGATTAATTAACAACTTGTCTCACCTCCTTTCCTCCCCCAATCTGGCTCTCTCCTTCTCTGTCACCTCTGAAGCGAACCTGACAGAAGCCATCTTGTGCTGCCTCACAGTCTCCACGAAGCCTGAGAGGGGGAAGGGAGTGGGGGAAGTAGATAGCCCAGCTAACAGTCAAAACAAAACATTTTCCTCTAGGAACCAAGGTCATTGTAACAGGTGGCTGGTGAAGGAGGAGAGAAACCAGCCAGCTATATTCATTGGACAATGTGACTGATATACACTGGAAAGTGGGGAAGTTTTATTATTTTAATTAAATGAAAACCATGGAAACCTTTAGAGTTGGTTTTCACCAGCTGTGCCCATATGATGTATCCAATAAATACATTCTTTGAGGAATCCACCTGCCTTGGAGTTCTGCTTTCATTGGGTGCATTACTCGGAACGCTGACATTCCCATCTCATAACTGTGATTTGACTTCGATGATGTTTTCATTTTATTGTATCAGGAATATTTATCTTTGGTGATTTAAATATATTTATGCTGTAACCCAACCACACGATGGGCAGCAAATACATTTAATTAATTAATTAATTAATTCAGAATGAAAATTAATTTAAATCATAGACAATTAAGGTAAAGGTAAAGGTTCCTCTTGCACATATGTGCTAGTCATCTCTGGCTCTAGGGGCCGGTGCTCATCTCCATCACGAAGCCGAAGAGCCAGCGCTGTCTGAAGATGTCTCCTTGGTCATGTGGCCGGCATGAGTAAATGTCAAAGACTCATGGAATGCTGTTACCTTCCCACCAAAGTAGTCCCTATTTTTCTACTTGCATTTTTACATGCTTTTAAACTGTTAGGTTGGCAAAAGCTGGGACAAGTAATGGGAGCTCACTCCATTACATGGCACTAGGGATTCGAACCGCCAACCTTTCTGATCGACAAGCTCAGTGTCTTAGCCTCTGAGCCACCACGTCCCTTTAGACAATTAAACACACACCATTTTTAATAACCAAGCTTTTAATGACTACTTTTAATGTCAACTTCACTTTGCTCTGTGAATGGAAACTCGGATAACAACAAAAAAGACTTGACCTGGAACACCACCTGATGACAATGACATCATTTATAGGTGAACTATTTCAGATGATTTCAATATATGGGGAGGAATTACAGAGAAGAAAGTATTTTCTCACGAAACATGTATCCGAGACTTTTTAAGACTCTGAAAATAGTAACCCCAGTCTTTACTTCTTGCCCAGGTTTCAAAGGAGAAAAAGACCACTGGAGAAGCAGAAGAACTATTTGTGTCAAAACACACGAAAGTGGCAGAAAGGAAATTGAAATGTTTGATGCAGCCATCTTACTAATACGCAACCCGTACAAATCGTTGGTGGCAGAATTCAACCGGAAGTGTGCTGGCCATCTTGGATATGCCACAGACCAGAACTGGAAAAGTAAAGGTAACTAGGATAGCGAGTTCTCTTGTGATCATTTTGGCCCTGGGAATATTTCTTCCTACCATGGAAGGATTGGGGTAAATTTTGGATGGTAACAGAGAAGAGTCAATTAGAATCGCTGCCAAATCAGCCCATAACATCTCTCAGCAACTTCCTCAGATGATTAATTCATTATGGGATGAGAATGTCAAGGGTTTCAATGTGAGAGAGTAGCAATTGTTTTCTTGCCCACAGATAAATTGGGAGCTGCTATCACTTTTAACATAGATTGGACCTCATTGAATCCTTCCCATGAGTAACCTTTAAGGCAAGGGTATCAAACTTGATTCCATGAAGGCTGTATCAGGGTTGTGTTTGACCTTGGAGCAAGGATGTATGTGGTGGGCATAGCCAGCTTGACGTCACTCGTGTCGGAGGCGCCTGTGATGGTCTGAGTGCTCTGCCAGCAAAAACAGTCTCCCAAGTCTTGTTTTCGGCTGGGACAGCCTCCTGCAACTCTGCCAGTAAAAAAGGAGCTCAGGAGGGCTGCAGCTCCATTTTCACTGGCAGAGGCACCTCGAGCTGGTCTTTTATTGTTTCCAGGGCGGCCCCATGGGCCAGATCTATGCAACCTGTGGGCTCAATCCAGCCTGCGGGCCTTGAGTTTGACACCCCTGCTTCAAGCAAATCCTTCCAGACACGTGGAGCCACTGCAGAAAAGGCCCTCTCTCTTAGGTTAGCCAGCCGAACAGCTTTATTTCAAATGTTATTTCTACTTTTCTATAGCTACCTACTATAGGAGAAGAGCAGGCAAAACTTGGGCCAGAATCAAGTGAGTAATCAGCCTAGAATCATGATGTTCCCAGAAATGGTCCAACTCCAGCCCCTCTTGAATTCTGTTTACTCTTATCTAGTGCCAATCTAGTGCTGACAGTTAGTTGACTAGATTTAAGAAGATGCAAGAGATTATTTTTCTGCACAGTGCTCTAAAAAGCCATATAAAACATCTTTATTGTCTTTCTCGACCCCAGAATGGCCTGATTTTGTAAACAGCTATGCTTCCTGGTGGGCCTCTCATGTGCTTGACTGGCTTAAATACGGCAAGCATCTCCTCGTAGTTCATTATGAAGACTTAGAAGAAGCCCTTCTTCCCAAGCTGAAGGAGATGGTTGGATTTCTGAACATCACAGTGACTTACGACCGGCTCCTCTGCGTTGAAAACAACCGAGATGGGAATTTCAAGCGGTCGGGAGCCAAGCAGAAAGGGTTTGAACCCTTCACAAAGGAAATGAAAGAAGTGATTGATCCGTTTATTGTGATAGTGGACAAAGCCCTACGTGAGAGGAACTTTACTGGGCTGCCAAAAATGTATTTGCGCAGATGATGCCCTGCAGCCAGCTTGCTGCGTTGTTAAAGAAAGACCGAATAATGAAATTAAAGAAAAGGCCAGGATTTTATAGCATTTAAAAAGCAAGATTTGCACAGAGTCTGCTGATGAATGCAAATTCTTAAGACTTGGACAGTCTTCAGGGTACTAAGTGCTATGAAAGGCAAGCAATGAAGGATGGAAATTAGGTTATAAACCGAGGCAAAAGCCATTAGCATCTCTGCCTGTGTGTGTCCTTCTCTCTATAAATGGCTACGAATTTTAACATTTTTGTGCACTGCTAATTCTGGGAAATGTGGCTGGGGGCGGGAAGCAACAGTGTCCTTTCTCTTATCCTTACTGCCTACTAGCAATATTTTCTCAAGAGTATCAAAACATTTTTATAGAGGTTTTTGGCAATTCAAATGTGTATTTTTCCCCTGGGGTTTTGGTTTGTTGGTTCTTTTGTTTCAAAACTCATCCTGATAAATATTTTTAGTGAAGCAAGTTAATGGGAAAAACAATCATTGTCTTTGTCTTTTTTCCCCCGCCACGTCATACGGGATTTGATACATGAAAATATTGCAGTGCTTCTTGCTCTTTCTTATTTACAGGATAATCCTGTATGTGTGTGCTTAGTTGTAAGCAGGGGTGGACTCCACATACTGTAACAACCGGTTTGTCTAGGGCAGAAACGAAAATGTGTGCGCGTGTGTGCATGTCCCCTTTGTGTGCACCCATGCACTTCGTGTGCGTGCGCACCATTTGCGCTTGCACATGGCTGCAAAAAATGGGGATTTCCTGCGCGTGGCAGCCGTGGTGAGTAGAGTGGGAAAGGTGCAGAACTCAGCTAGGTTGCAGGGGCGGGGCAAGCGAGTCAGTTTTATAGGACAGGATAGCACTGGGGCGGAGGGGCAGGCCCAGCCAGTGGTCAGAACTACCGGTACGGGCGAGCCGGTCTGCAATGGCAGTAGCCCACCACTGGTTGTAAGACTTGACAATTACAATGGGATTTACATATGAATTTGAATATGAATATGGATTTACAAATATAATGGGAAGTACAATGGGATTTATATATGAAGAACGGTTACAGAAACTGGGCATGGCTAGTCTAGTAAAGAAAAGGATAGCAGAGTTCCAATATTTGATGGGCTGCCACAGAGAGGAAGGGATCAAGCAAAGCACCCGAAGGCCAGACAAGGAATAATGGATGGAAACTGAACAAGGAGAGGTTCAACCTGGAAATAGGGAGAAACTTTCTGACAGTGAGAACAATCAACCAATGGAACAGAAGTTGCCCTTGGAAGTTGTGGGAGTGCCATTACTTGAGACTTTCAAGAAGAGATTGGACTGCCGTTTCTCAGAAATGGTGTAGGGTCTCCTGCTTGGGCAGAGGGTTGGACTAGATGACCTACAAGGTCCCTTCCGACTCTGATTATCTGTTATCTGTTACTTCCAGGTAAGTGTGTTGGGGATTATAGGTTTAGGGATGAAATTAATTTGGTGGAAATTATTTTCATAAAATTTATTTCTTTAATTGGTTTATAATAACAATTCCAGAAACAGTGCAAACACAATGCCTTTCTGGCCCTTAAATAATTAAATAAGAGGAGTGTATTCATTTTAAGAGACATGGATCGTGACACTGGATAAGGTAGGTGTGTGTGTGTGTATGTATGTGTGTGTGTGTGTATATATATATTGTGTGTGTGTGTGTGTGTATATATATATATATATATATATGTATGTATGTATGTATGTATGTATGTATGAATGTATGTATGTATGGCATTCAGCTTTGTTCGGGTATTTTCCCACGTCATTGTAGTTGTGCTTTTAAAGTTGTAGCAATGTTTCGGCAGAATCTCATCTGCCATCATCAGGCTTCTGTATTGTGTCCGTCTGTGAGTCAGACTTTTACAGTGGTTTCAGTTTTAAAGTTGGGGCTAGCCTACTGCTGTGCCAGAATGGTAGGCTAGCCCCTTTATTCAGGCCTAAACTGAATGAAGGTGTATAAGGACATGCTACTCACCTGCAATATCCCCCAGATGGGTTGAGATGGCAGCTGAAAAACTGTGAGTGGCTTCTCTAAATGGAAGATGGAGGCTTGAATGATCTCACTTCCCTTCTCTTTCTCATCAATGCTTGTAACAGAAAATGATGAACAGGAAAAGTAAGTAATAATCCCTAAACACTTCTTTATGAAGGGAGCATTTTGGCTACTTTGGCCAGCAAGGTCAGAGTTGCCAAGCTTACCTATAACCTAACTCAGGGGTCTTCAAACTTGACACTTGTGGACTTCAACTCCCAGAATTCCTCCTCCAGTCACATTAGCTCAAGAATTCTGGGAGTTGAAGCCCACAAGTCTTAAACTTGCCAAGTTTGAAGACCCTTGACCTAACTAAATAGAAAGAAATTAACCCTCTCCTGCCAGAACAGCAAAAGCTTTGGGGATAGAATAATACCCAAGAGGTCAAGCTAAAGACTAGGCCCAATTCTATTCTGAGATCAATTAAGAATAGCTAAGTACTGCCAATTGCTTAGGCTCTTGTTCTATATTGAGAAATAACAGAGAAATGAAATGCAGAAGATGCAAACATTAAGAAGTACCCAATTGACAATGGCCATTTGCAAAACAGAACATACAAAACCCTTGCTGCAGGCCGTACAAACCATACTGCCAAGGTATCAGAAGGAGAAGTAATTCAACAAATTTAACAAAAATTAAAAAGAGTATATTTTCACTATTTAAAATGTGGTTCAAACAGCAAACATAATGCTTGTGGAAACCAATAATCCAAAATATAGTAGGATTTTCAACTCAGATATTGTAGTTTTTCCCTGTGTTGCCATAAAGGTTTAGGGAATCTTTGATAATGAAGCATGAACTTCAACTCCCAGAATTCCCCAGCTAGAATAAACAACACACTGTTATAAACTGTCTATAATTCTGATCCTTATTCTGTCTGGGAAAGATGGCTTCAATATTTTTGAACAAGGTGCATACCAAAGGAAAACATGATTCTTCCTGTGAAAATGTAACAGAATTTATCTCAAGTTTTTTGCATCACCATCTAGCCTGATCTAATAGCTCAAAGGCTTCTGCTTTTGAAAGGTACATTAAAGAGACATATCCTGCAACTGTTGGAACTACTGGAGGGATATGGATTCAAATGGATGCTATGCACTGGTCTTGGAAACGGGTGTGGATTGAGATGCTTATGTTGTTGTATGAAGAAGCTTCAAGACCAGAAGTGGTATTCAGCTGGTTCTGACCAGTTCTGGAGAACCGATAGCAAACATTTTGCATAGTCTGGAGAACTGGCAAATACCACCTTTGACTGGCCCCACCCCCATCTATTCTCTGCCTCCCGAGTCCCAGCTGATTGGCTGGGTCTTCTTTTGTTGCCCTGCACAGAACAGAGCTGGAAAGCAGGTTAGTGGGGTGGGGAGGGAATGGGATTTTGCACACCCCAGGAATGGGGTGGGAATGGAGATTTTACAGTATCCTACCCCTGCCAAGCCCACCAAACCATACCCACCAAGCCATGTCCACAGAACCGGTAGTAAAACATTCTGAATCCCACCACTTTTCAAGACTTGCCATAACTGGATTGCAAAGAAGAAAATATCTGAGTGATTGTCCCAAAGGTGCTTTTTCAAGAGGCAGCTGGACTTTCTGGTTTTTGACTGAATTTTCTAGATAAAATGTGCAGAGTAAGCAGCTACTTCTGTTCTGGAAATGAAAGTGAAAAACAGGTTTTCAATGATCTATAACAGCTCCAAACTTGGTGACTTTAAGACTTGTGGACTTCAACTCCCAGAATTCCCAAAGCCAGACAAGAAGTAAAGGATGGAAAGTTATTAAGGAGAGATCCAACCTAGAAATAAGGAGACATTTCCTGACAGTAAGAATAATCTAGACTCTAGACAAAGTACAGACAAGAGCAACCAGGATGATTAGGGGACTGGAGACTAAAACATACGATGAATGGTTACAGGAATTGGGCATGGATAGTCTAGTGAAGAGAAGGGCCAGGGGAGACAGGATAGCAGTGTTCCAATATTTGAGGGGCTGCCACAGAGAGGAAAGGGTCAAGCTATTTTCTAAAGCCCCTGAAGGCCAGACAAGGAATAATGGATGGAAACTGAACAAGGAGAGATTTAACCTAGAAATAAGGAGAAACTTTCTGACAGTGAGAACAATCAACCAATGGAACAGAAGTTGCCCTCGGAAGTTGTGGGAGCGCCATCACTTGAGACTTTCAAAAAGAGATTGGATTGCCATTTGTCAGAAATGGTGTAGGGTCTCCCGCTTGGGCAGGGGGTTGGATTAGATTACCTATAAGGTCCCTTCCAACTCTGATTATCTGTTATCTGTTATCCGTTAATCAATAATCAGTGGAATGGTTTATTTCCAGAAGTTGTAGGTGCTCCATCACAGGAGGATTTTAAGAAGAAACTGGACAGCCATTTGTATGGAATGGTATAGGATCTCTTGCTTAAACTGGGGTTAGATTAGAAGACTTCCAAGGTCCCTTCCTCCCTATTATTCTACATTCTATGATCTAGATAAATAAAATAGGTGGAGTAGATGCTGGAGACAAAGCCTTTCCTAACAGTTCCTTCAGCTTTTGCAGTGGTTGAATCTCTTAACATTTTCAACCAGTTTCTAACTCAATCAATCCTTTTATGAAGGTCACAGGCTTTCAGAAATTTCCCAGCACCGAGGTGCCAAAGTTAAAAGCATGAATCTCAGTATAACCAAATTATCCACCAGACACTGGCAAATAAAATGATCAGCCAGCTCAGTGACCCAGGGACAAAACGTAGTCCTTCTGCATGCTTTTTCATGCAGAAGACTGAAATTTAGCGATTGCTTCAGTAATACTCGTCTTTGTTTTCCACAAAAAGGAACATTAGAAACCATTGCAAGCCATCTGTCAGGGCATTTTGCCATGTCAGAGGCGAGAAATCTTACCCACTTTTCTACTTTTAAAAAGAAAAAAAGAAACACGAAAGAGGAAAGAGCTGACTTAATTATTCCACTAGCCTATCTTTTTTATTCATCTTTGCTGTGTTAATCAATTCCTTTAAAGATAGTGCTGTCAAATCACGAACTCGGCTGCCTGTCCAACACATCTCCAGTAACAACAGTGCTCAAAGACTCAAATCCGTGCCCCAATTAATTCTCATTCAATGCGATGGGAAAGAATTGGCTTTAGAAATGCTTTCAAAAGGAGAAGAGGATTCCAGAGGAATTGGAGGTTGGGGGTGGCATGTGGTGCCATTGAAGTTAACTTAGGGACCGCAGCCAAGAAACTCAGTGAGTGTCTTCCCAGCTTTCATCGCAAATCGCCTCTCCCTATTTTTCTACATTTCCCCTCATTCTCACAGAAAAATCTTAATGGGAGGAAGGCACTCCTTCCCAGGTTTCTCCTGAGATCT